TAACACTTCAATCACTTCATTAATCGTGGTATTTCATTTAAACTTCAACTTTAAAGGTGAATTTCGAATTCCATGGTTTTCTTCACATCTTTTTACGATTTTCTTCATCGTTTTTTGAATTTCAAATCATTTTTGCTTAAGTTTTGGGTAGTGCCTCACATGGCTTGATCTTTGGGAAAGCTTATCATCATGTGTTGCATGATTTTTCATCAAAAATCGAACATTTAGACCATTGTGTGTGGTTTTCATGTTTTCTTGTTTGTGTTTCACTATAGTTCATTATTTCATTAGTTGATGGAGTTTGATTTAGGTTGCTTGGTTTGTGATTGTGGCATTGTTGAGCAGTGGTAAAGGTTGTGATTTTTTTGGGGTTTGAGGAAGTGGTTGGTGGCTTGGGTGAACTTGGAATAGGTTTTTAGGTTCAAAGTTGAGGTTGTTCATTTCCTTGGTTGAGTTTAGGATGTTGGATTGGACCTTTGTTAGTGTCGAATTATTGTTTAGGAGTTTGCATTGTGTTGGTTGTGCTTTGGTATGCTTGGATAGGCATCGTACAGTGACGTCATGTCAGCAGTCATGGTGTCGCGTCACTACGTCGTGACATCACGTCACTGCCTAGGCCTCACGAATCTTGTCTTGTTTTCACGACACACCTACATCTAGACATCATTGTATGTCGTCATGCATTCACTATAGGCCATGCTTGCATGTCATATCATTTGCCTCATTTTACGTGCATTCATGCATGCCATGCATTTCATGATTTCATCTATCATTTGTCGAGGTTTTAATGGTTTTGTGATTCAATTCTTTCAGATGCCGCCCAAGAGAGCTCGCACTTCTACTTCCACTCCTAGTAATTCGACTTCTTACAATCGAACTAGGTTTAGGATATTTTTGGGTCACGGTTCTATCTTCGCCCTGTACTTTTTTAGCGCGAGGTCGTCATGTCTGATTTGTCTCCCAACCTCACTGTTATTTTCTCTTACCGAGGTTATGAACCACTTCTTATTGATTTGACACCTCCTCCATCCTTATTAGTACAGGAGTTCTACGCTAACATCCATGATCTTAGTGGTTCTTCCTTTAGGGTTTTCCTTAGGGGTTGAGTAGGTAAGATCACTCTGGATGTCATTTCGAGTCTTATTCATATTTCGCGAGTTGTTTATCCACAATCTTCCTATCTTACTCCTGATACGCTTCCTTTAGACACTTTAGTCTGATCCAAAGTGTTTAACACACCGTGGAAGGTGGTCCAGGTGCGATGCGCACTGGATCTTTACCCATTGATCGACAGATTTTGCTGTGCATTGTGGCACTAATCTGTGGCCGGTTTCTCACACTTCTTCATTACCTACGGAGAAAGCCCGTTTTCTCTACGCTCTACCGCATGACGATTTTATTGATCTTCCCACTTTTATATGCCAACAGATCTTGAGGGCATTCAAGACCATGGGGACTCGGGTTGGACTGCCTTATGCTTGTCTCATTTATAGCTAGTTACTGCTATAGGAGCTAGTTTCCCCAATGGGGTTCCGCGGCAGGTTTCTCGGCCGCTTGGCCATACCACTATCACCCAGAGTAGGTCACATGCATCTTCTGAGCCCGCACAGCCTCGGGCTGATCCTACTATGCCAGCCGATCCTATTGATGATCTTATATCCTTTGACCCCTCCGATGTTTCCTCTTTTACTACTAGTCCTGAGTCTACCGATATTCCTTCTACTTCTGGTTCGATGCCTCCTCCTCCATCCACTTCATCGGCTTCTCTTCCTCATTCTGCATTTGTTCCTCCACCTGATGATATTCCTTCTGTTCATGTTGATCCTTCTGTGGCTCTCTTGGGACAAATGACAGTGATGATCGAGCAGCAGGCTCAGATGATGGCTGAGCTTACACAACTTCGTGCCACAGTTGATCGCCACACCACCGAGTTTGCTGCACTTCGGGGTGCTGTTGGCTACATTTAGCAGGTTTACGATGGATTCGTTGCCATTGGGACGATGCTTCCGAGGAGAGGACGGACTCCGATGATGCCGATGACACTGCCGATGCTTCGTAGATATAAGCTTATCCCTTGTTATTGTGTGACAAAA